TTTTATCAGTTCTCCAGAGTAATTAATATACGCTGCTGCAAAGTTCGCTATTCCTGTCAGATATTCGCCCACTTCCCCTTCCCTGCTCAAGCGATAATGGGAGCCGGGCCGCAGCGAGGTTGACGGGGTATCCGGGGTTCGAATGATGCTCGCTGTCGAACTTACAGTGTTGGGCGGCCACTGTCCTTCTAAGCTGCAAAAATCCGCCCCTCCCTGTCGCACCCTTTACCCCCCCCCCTCCCTGTTTTCTTAATCTGTTTATCAAAAATCGGTGTTTCCTCTCCTTGACTATATCTTTGTTTCGCTGTTTATTTCGCTGCCGATAATAATAAAGTAAAGTAAAGATGTTGCTGGTTGGTCCCTTTCAGTCCTTGGTTTAGTGGTATAGCGGTGGTGATAAGATCGGAGAGTCCTTTCCTGATAACCTCCCTTAATTTTTGTTTTGCTCGTGGTCATTTTTCCGGGGAATATCGAGGTACTGGAGACTTGGCATGGAGTTAACTTTTGGCCACCTTAGTATGTCGCCGTGCTTTTGCAAGCGCTGATCCCAATTTCATCTGAGTCCGACGGTGCTTATCACGCACGTCCTGCCGTTACGGAAATTTTTGCACGACCCCCCCCACTTCAACGATCCCTATTCTGGTAGGACCCCCTTCTCGTCCCTCATGCCACCTCCGATCTTTCCTGAGCTCCCGTTTCCTTACCACTTTTCTCGAGTTTTCCTCAGAAGTTCTCCAATTGTTCCGCAAAATCTGCCGCTAAACTGAGGAGATTGGGGGAAGGGAATCAATAGCGCATGCGAAACAGGAAATATCGAGAAAAGTCGAAAACCGGACACGTTTCTCCCGAAGGCAAGCACGACCCCTTCGCTCCAGCGAGTAAATACGCCCCCACCTCGCTGTGGATCTTCAACGCACCACGCGCCCCGCATCGCATCTATTCCCTCTTAACTTTGTTCAGGCATGCCAACCTGTGAGTATCGCTCCTGAGTAAGGCCTTCAGCAACAGTACACCAGCCCGCCTGCGCGCCTCAGAAATCACCCATAATTAAACATGTTCGCAAAAGCTTTCAAAGACTACAGTGCCGACCCAGTACACTCGTCAATCGCCGGCTGGAAAAGCTGTTTTTCTGATGCATTCTTAATCATGGCTCTCAAAATGCCACAAAGCACTAGGAGCTGAGGACACTGCATTCCTTAGCTTTAATTCTTGAACTTTTTGATAGCCTGCTAGAGCGGGCTTCACGATCCCTGCGAGGCATCGTTACCTCGAAAAGGCAGTGGCGCACGCGTTGTTGGAGGCGCGCGGTCGTTCCCAGCGTCATTCAGGGTTAGAAGGGTACTGTCGAGAGCGCGCCTTCGAGCCACACTTTCACGCAGGCTTTCCACCAATGTCGCCTGGCGACAACGCCACCGACCCCTCCAGCAAAATGCGCTCCATTGCCTTCAGGCCGATCATCATGTTCCTTCGTTCCTATCGCCTTCTTTCTTGCTCTCTCTGCCACAATTCACCGATTTCTCGTGTTATGTTTTTCCACTGGCATGCTTTAATTATCTTTTTAAGGACGGCTACTTACGAATATTCAATTATCATCAGATGGAATTGCTATCGTATATGAAATCGTACTTTGGTAAGTGTACTAGTAACGATAATCGCGTATGTCGGAAGCAAAATTTGCTCTAGGTGGTCTCCTCACACTTGGATGGAGCCCAGATGCGAAGTTAATAGTAACTGGTGGTGAAGACGATTTGCTCACTGTTTATAATGTTCAAGAGAAACGCGTGGTTTGTCGTGGTCAAGGACATAAAAGCTGGATTTCTCAGGTTATTTCTTAGATTAGATTTCTTAGGTTAGATTATTAATTGAAGTCCTAGCGCCTTTAAACACTTCTGATTATAAAAAGTTTCTAATTATTTCAGGTGCAATTTGATCCATATATGTGTACTGTTGATGGTGAACATGAACTGAACGGACTAGGAGCTTTGGACATCGGTTCAGATGATGAGAAAATTGCTCATTCCACAGGAATCATTCAAAACGGACAGGATAGTAATGCGCCTACTCCAGTTATAAAACGTAGGCGTTTAAGATTTTGTTTGAATATGGTGTTCATAAAAAAGATCGAATTACAGCAAATGTGCGTAGACCTCCTTTGCAAACATCTTCCTTTTCGCGATGCTCTTTCGCTTCATTTGGTACAATTAATGGAACTGGTCGTGTGAGTCGAGTATTTTCCTACTGTGTTTAGATTTGAAAACGTTTTCGGCGCTGTTCGGCTTGGAAGGGGGCATTTTGCACTTCTACTATTTCTTTTTTAGTTCATGTCAAACAACCGACCTCACTTTGGAGAGACCTGTAAACTCTTGTAAAGTTGCGAAGTTTGCCAAGTGAGCCACTTTTGATCCCAAGGTTCCACAGGTCTCCACAAAAAGCCTGTACAAGCTTATCTGGGTACCATTCGGTGCCCCCAACAAGAAGAACTGCTCCATGTTTTCTTCACCCGATAACGCTTCCTTTTTATCCTCTTTTCCTTACTTTTTTTTGATATTTTGTGCTTCTTGTTGTGGTTTTAATGAATTAATTAATTGTGAAAGCTGCCGTTTAACGGCGTCGTTCGCGCTCCGAATGTTAAAACGAGAATGCTTGACTATGCGCAAAAGTAAGTAAGGTACAGACGGGACTTGAACCCGCATCTCTCGCTTACCGGGCGGTGAAGATATCCATTACGCTATTAGGACCGCTCTAACCATCTCAGCTCAGTAGCTTTTTTGTAGGCGTAAGCCATTGAGCTGAGAAGGTAAGAGCGATCCCGATGGCGCCATGGTTAGCGCACTCGCCCAGTCAGGCGGAGATGCGTGTTCGAGTCCCGTCTGGTGTCTGGGTCCCAAAATCACATTTTCGTGATGAATTGCTTTCAATGTTCGCAGAGTTTGAGGAGGGGAAAGTTTGACATCTCCGCAGGTAGAGGCGAAAGGTACGATTTAATTTTTCGGTGTGAATTCTTCGATGCATTCGGGCGCTCATAACCTTGCGTAGTGAGGAGGGGGGGGGGGAGTGCTCAACACCTGTAGGCTGTTTACCATATGCGTATGTGTCTTTGTTTTTGTTCTTCATGTTTCTGACAATTGTGTCTCACCAGCAAGTCCAACCCTGCCAAGTATCCTGTAACCTCCTGTCAAGCTTGAATAAGTGGTGTTATTCAGTGGAACGCCACTTCTCCAATTTCTCCAAATCTTAACCACTCGTTTTACAAGTTCGACAGCAGTTTACTGGTGCTTGACAGGTGACAACAAGGCTTACAGGGTGTTAACCAGGTTGTTCTCTATTTTGTACACAGTGTAAAGGATTTTGTATGCTGACATGCGCTTATAGGGTGCCCCCCCCCCACTCAGAGGTCTATGGAACGGCCACGTTGTTTACCTCCTTAATTGCCGAGGGGCCCAAATTTTTTTTTTTTTATTTTTTTTTATTTTTTTTTTTTTTTTTTTTCTTTATTTTTTTAATTGGGTTGTTATTTTTTTTTTCCAAAAAAAAAAAAAAAAAAAAAAAAAAAAAAAAAAAAAAAAAAAACAATACAGTTGTTGTTTTTTTATTTCATCTATGATAATCTCTTTTTTCTGTTTTACCTGAAGTTACCCATTGGAAAAAGAGAAAAACAGTGCCGTTTACGATTTAGTCGCCAATTCCTGTCAAGACCGTTTGGCCATTTTCAGGGGCTGTGGCGGTGCGTGCTGCTATCGTATAGGCAAGTGTTGGCATGACTTACGAAAGCCTGTGTCTTGTGGGCATATAACGGAGGATATGTGAAGGTTTGCCTTTTCAACTCAGGGTTTTCCCTTGAACAAATTTCTTATTTTCTTGTTTAGCCCGCCAATGTACAGCGACATCGCAACTCAACAATCATTGCACCCATGTTGGGCCTAGAGATTCAGGTTTCGTTCTGCTTCTTTTTTGCGAAGATGACTCATTTAGATGCACTATGCGGGATGCTCATGTTTTTTTTTGTTTTATTCCTCTTTTTATACTTGGAACGCGGCGGGTGGACCGTTTTTTGCGGTGATGGCAGGGGGCGTATACCGTTTCGTGTAATTGATTACCGAAGATTTTCTAGACCTCTCCGAGCTCTCATAACTGTTTACCGAAACCCTTCAGCCTTTATTTTTTTTTTTGTCATTTTTTCGCACTTTGCTGCCACGATCACCCATGCCAATGTTGGGGGGAGCTTAGGATGGAAGTAACTAAAGGAACTAATTGTGTGAGCTAGGGGATCCTTTCGTTCTGTTCAAGGGAAAGCAAAGCCAGAGGGCTAAGCCAATCCATCTGTCCAAAAGTTTGCTCTGCATTCCCTGATAAATGTTTCGCATAGAGCGCAGACATTCCTTGCATAGTCGGGGTCCAAAAAGTTCCCCCCTTCCCCTCTGCTGAAACTACGGCTTGCGTTATATGTCGTGCCAGGAACATAATAAATTTCTCGTATCAGTTTATGGCGTTGTTCGGCTCGGAGGGGCATTTTGCACTCTTGCTAGTTCCTTTTGCTAGGCTCTGTTGGATTACACGTTTCATCTTGCTTGAGACCTGTAAGTTCTTGTACTTCTTGTCAGCTGAGAAAGAAACTCATGTTTCTGCATACCTATAGGAAGTTGCAGGATCTCCCCAGGAGTCATCGACAGCGCTTCGTGGGAACCAGCAGGATCCCCCACATGCCGAACTGCGCCTTCTCATCAATATCTGCCCTCAATTTATTGAAATAGTCATTTCACGAGTTGTTGCAGACGTCATCATCAGGACGCCTTGACCCCCTTTGCGAAGCATCTCCTGCCCAGTCAACTGGAAGCGCCAAACCGAAAAAGAAACGAGGTTTTCATCGAAGAGGATTTACGTTGGGACGATTGGGCCGGATCAAGTAGCGCATTTCGGTAAGCTTTTAGTGATTCTTCATTACCGAAGATGCTTACTTTTTTCATTACATTTTACAACTTGTTTACCCTTGAGTTGCTTTAGTTTTCATTTCTTTCCTTGAAGGCGTCGTCTTGAGTCTCCAGCATCACTAACGAATGCTGCCCTTGATGAAGCGAAACTTCTAGGAACACGAGTGTGTCCACGCATGGAAGATGTCCCTGTCTTATCTGCGTGAGAAACTGAAATCTCAGTATTTCCCGCCTATTTCTATTGTTCATTAAAGAGCCTCTGATATGCAAGAAGATCGCGCACGAGCGGTTGACAGTACTCGAATTCCGCAAGGACTGCTTTGTCACCGCGTGCCAGGAAGGTTTTATCTGCACATGGGCGAGACCTGGGAAGGTGAGCATGGTTACAATTTTATTTTTGTTGCTCTGCAGAAAATGCTTTGTAGTTCAGTTGGAGGTACAATTTTCACTTTTAAATAGGACCTTTCTAAAACCAATAACTTTCCAGTGGGACTTCGAACCTACGGATAATTTCTCAATAGTAGGCTTTGCTCTTGGTGGAAGCTGATCGGTCGGGGCTTGACAGTAAGGAGCGGATCTAGTCGTTGCTTAATTTGAAAAGGGCGGAAGTTTCAAAGAACAAGGGAATAAAATTTCTTCAAAAAAAATCGCAAAGTCGCAGAAGTGGGCGTGGTCGTGGGAGCGGGGCGCAATGTGCCAGTGAATGTTTATTTGTGAGAGTATTCGTTTCACGAATACTGAACGGGAAAAGAGTGACGTCGAAAAATCCATACAAATTCCACTTTCACAATATTCCGCAAAAGTGTGCGGAGTCCTGTCTGTGTCGGTGACCATCCCTTTCAGTTAGTGGGTATAAGCGAAAAAAGCAGAAGTGCCAGGAAGTTATTCACCTTATGCTCATCCTGCTGCTCTCGCTCCTCGAGCGGGCGCCACTAACGTCTCCATTCGTCCCTGCAACGTGCAAGAGCTGCCCAATGGACTCTCTCTGCTCGAGGGACACGATGAACTTCATACCATTCGTTCAGAGCTTTCACGAAGAAGTCTGACCATCGCATAGGCGGTCGTCCAGGCGTTCGCTTGACATCCTGTGATCGCTGTGAACTGCTTCTCGTAAACGCATGACGTGCCCGGCCCACCTGATCTTCGAAACCTTGGCAAATGCGGCGGCGTCTCTGATCTTCGATCGTCGGCGGAGTGCGGAGCTCCGGATTCCCTCTCTCACTTGCGTGTAGCGGGAAACTCCGAGCATCGCCCTTTCGATGGCGCGTTGAATAACGCCGACCGGCATGCTCATCCTGCTTTCGTAGAGCCCAAGTCTCTGAGGCGTACGTCAAGGCACGAAGGACCGCGGAATCGAAGAGAGTGGGCACGGAGCTGGTGTTCCTCGTCTTTCTTCGCAAAGATATGTCATAGAAGCAGAACGAATTTCGGAGAGCAATGACTGCTCCGAAAGGTGGGCGGAAGTTTTGGGGCGGGCCTTGTAGCAGTACGTAGTGTGGTCCTGTTTGTAAACTGCTCGATGTTGTCTGCATTGCTTTTGAAAAGCTGTTTGACTCAAGCGGGAAACAGTATAAAATTAGAACACGATTCTGTCGCGTGATATCTCATTATGGACCTAGTGCAAATAGTAGGCGGTCATTACAGTTGATATCGTCGCAATCAGTCGGGGCGGTCTTAAGAGGCATGAAGTGTGCCCACTCGCAGTGTTTCCTACGTCTATTTCTTTCTTTTCTAATCGATCACTAACCGATCACTATTGGCAGAAATCGCACCTGGACGGGCTCATTCCCGCCTGACACCGCGGCCTGACTGATAGCCACGATATCAAATATTCGTCAGATTCAGTTTCATTAGGCATTTTTCGCAGGTTCCGAACACGTTGATGAAACGAGATGTGAATTCACCCAACATCATGAGTTCACCGACAGGATTTCGCGACGGAATCGTGCCGACGTCATGGGGTAACGTTACAAGTGCTCAGGCGCACTAATAGGATGTGATACCCTTACGCTTTGCTATTTTGTTACATTTTTTTCGTTCGTTTGTGCTGTTGCTATTTTCTGAAGCTGTTGCGACTTGTCGTTCAGCAGGAGCACCTAGTGCTCACAAGAGAAATCCGAACTCCATCTAGTTTACTGAATATTTTCCCGGTTGCCGTTATGTGGTGATATCAGCAGACGTAGTACTTGTCTAATACATACATTCATTCATTAATTCCCACTCATTTGCACGACTTGATGGCGTATCCTCTCATTTTGATTGGCCTTTGCACTTGTTTTCGCGTACATTTCCCTTTCATATTCTTTTTTTATACATGATTTCTGTTAACTGGATGATGTTTTATATGATGCCAAATCAGCAATTTGACTGTTAATAAGAATTCCGGGTATAGGAGCTGTGTACTACATTGTACAGTAATTCGCTTCGTTTTCTTAATTTGTTCAATTTCTGGAGTAAAGCCTGGTTTTCGCTCGCCAGTTTTGAAATTGCGAATTGTA